TAGCCGAACTTCAATTCCTTCGGCTGAAATACCTCCCGCCAAACTTAAACTCCCTTGGCCGAACTACCTCCGGCCAAACTTAAACTCCCTCGGCCCAACTTTGCTTGCCCAAGTGTTTGAGAAGGGCACCTGGGTGAGCAAGGAGAAAATCTGCCTCAACCTAACTTTGTGCAAAAGGAGTGGCCGACCAAGGTATTTAAGGAGTGCCCGGCCCAACTTTTTGAGAAGTGCCCGACCACTTTTGCAAAAGGAAGCATTTGGCCAATTTTGCAAGGATATGCTCGGCCACTTTTGCAAGGATACACCCAATCACTTTTGCAAAGGGAAGCTCCCGACCATTTTGCAGGGATACGTTCGGCCACTTTTGCAAGGATACGCCAAATCACTTTTGCAAAGGGAAAAGTCTGGCCAAATTTTTTAGAAGGCACCATGGCCTTTGAAGAAAACACATCAGCCACCTTTTTGAGAAAGCACCTCAGCCACTAGTATTTCTCGGCTAGGAATTCCGCCATTAGGAATTCTCCAACTGCTAGGAATCCCGCCGCTAGGAATTCTTCGGCCGCTAGGAATTTCTCCTTGGCAGATTGGGTGAATTTTGACCACCCCCAAACAATCTCCTAATACAAAACTAGGAAAAGCAGCTGTTGTCAAAATCATCACAAAATTGTTTATTGAGTTCGATTCAATTAAGTGATGATTGCTGTGTTTTTTAATGCATTAACAAACACCAGGATTCAATTGACTCATTCAATTGTTTTGGCTGGGGGCTTTATGTTCTTTTAAAGTATTAAAAGAAATTTAGTTTGTTATTCAAAAACTCGATATCTGTTTAAAATTATTTTGGACCAACTTAATAATCTACCAAAGTAGCTTATTTGATGTTGTTCTGAGAGGATTATTTAGAAAACTCAGATTTGTAGTTTATGGAATCTAGTAGATTGATTTCCAAATAAATTATCTACTGGGTTCTACTATAAACTAATGTATAGTGAGTCATGGAGACCTTGAAAGTTATAAATTTCATCTTGCCTAAAGGTGTTGGAATTTGTAGTTTTGGTTCTTGTGAATTTATGCTAGGCTATGCAAAACTTCTTAGAATAGTTTCTTGCCCAAAGGTGAAACCGTATTCTATATTTTGAATACAACAGACAACCTTATGTCATAGTTTTCTGTTGTAACGGTTCTATGAAATCTAATAAGTCTTCAGTGTTTGGCGTCAATTTCCTGAATTTCATAAACATATCAGAAGTTGGAAAAGGGATCTCACGGAAGATATATGTAGCAGCAGCCTCCAGGATTTGTTGAAAAGGGGAAAGAAAGTTATGAGTGCAAATTATAAGTTTCTTCATGGTCTTAAACAGGTTTAAAGACAGTAGCATCTAAAGGTTGATGAGGTGAAGGGAACTAAAGAGGTTGTGCAATATATAGCTGTTTTTTGACAGGAAATTAAGGTTACCAGAGATGCAGCCACTACTTTATGAGATTTCAGAATATATCATATTATGGTATGCGTTTGTTTTGTGAGTCGGTTGCATGGTACAAAGATGAGTAGTACAACACAAGTGTGAAGGACGAGGAGTGCTTCACCTCATTACTACTATCAAGCATTTCATCAGAGACACTCATTTTGTAAGATTATGTCTTATAAAATAAAATAAAATAACCTAACTAGTTCTCATGATTAAGATTTTAAATTGGAGTGCTAGGAAGTAATAAGTTGTTAATATTCAGAGTTTTGTTTCATACACAAGAGAAAATGCAGTTGCTTTTTGCATCCCCAATTTGCAGGAAATTTGTTCAATATTATTTTGTCAATTTGCTGTTTTTTCAAATTTTCTCTGTAGTTTGGACAAACTACGTTGGTTTTACTGTTTATTTTATGAAAATAAAATAAAATAAAAATTAAGGGTGTTTGGTTGTCTCTCCATAATTTGGACAGAATTCAATGGCCACACTTCAGCACTTCATTGTATTCTACATATACATATATATGCATATGTATATCAAGACTTGTCATTTGCACTCAGCTTATTTGATATATATATATATGCATACACTACTACAAAAACCACTTTGCGTGACGAATGATTTTTGGTCGCGCAAAGGAAAATTTCGTCGCGCAAAGTTTGCGCGACGAAATTTTGGTCGTGCAGGTTCTGTCGCGCAAAACTCGTGGAGAAAGGGTTTGCGTGACGGCCAAAATTATTCGTCGCACAAAGACACTTTGCGCGACGAAGGATAACAACTTGCGCGACGAATCATGACGACTTTGCGCGACGAAAATAACAACTTTGCGCGACGAATATTAATTACTTCGCGCGACGAATCCTAAAAACTTTGCGCGACGGACAATAACAACTTTGCGCGACGAATATTAATTACTTTACGCGACGAATATTATATTTGCGCGACGAAAGTTAATGTCGCGCAAGTGTACTTTGCGCGACGAATGTGAACGTCGCGCAAAGGTTTGCACGACGAAATATTCATTTTTTTTAATTGTTGTTTTTTGAAAATTTTAAACTAAAATAAACTAGTTTAATAGTTTGCGCGACGAAATATTTTGTCGCGCAAGGTTTTTGACATTTTTTTTTTATTATTTCTCTTATATCAATTTCATTATATTAATTTTTTAAATTTTAATTTAATTGTATGATTTTATTTTTCTTAATTACTTTAATTTTAATTGACATATTCAAAATAAAATTACATAAGAAAAATAGTGGTCAAATTATCCAATATACATAATATTCAAAATGTACACTTAAATTAACAAAGTACAATAATAAAATCTACAAGCCTCTTATATCAAATCCTCAACTTTAGCCACCAAAGCCTCAACAATTCCCTACAAAAAAAAAAACAAATATTGTCAAATAACAAAATAATAACATAAAATAATGACAAATAATTGGCATAAACTCAAAACTAACTCCAAAAACACATATTAATGAAAAAAATTTAAAATTTACAGAGAAGTGAGTGTGAGAGAATTAGAGAAGATAGTGAGAGAGAGAGATGAGAGAGTGAGTGAGAGTGAGAGAGGAGGAAAAGAGAGATGTTGAAAAGAGAGATGAGAGAGTGAGTGAGAGAGAGAGAAAGAGATAGTGAAGAGAGAGATGAGAGATTAAGTGAGAGAGTGAGTGAGAGAAATGGTAGGATTTGGGGAGTGGGAAAGAGAGAAATGGTAGGATTTAGAAGACATTGAGAAAATGGTGGAGGAGTTATTTTACTTTTAAAGAACGTATCACTTTGCGCGACGAAACAGTATATTGGTCGCGCAAAGTGTTTAAAAAAAATTAAATAAAACATTCCCATTTTCGGTGCCCGCCAAATTTTTTCAGTTTTGCGCGACGAATTTCTGGTCACCCAAACTTTTGCGCGACCAAAATATTCCTGCGTCCCATTTTTGGTGCCCGCCTAATTTTTAGAGTATACTTTGCGCGACGAATATTTATATATTGGTCGCGCAAAGTCTTAAAAAATATTTAAAGCTAGTAATAAATACATATACTATTCAATTTCTTAAGTGTTATACGTACAAAATAAATAAATTTAAAGCTACTCAACGATCCAACCGTCAAACTTGTTTGTTTATACTTCGAGATCATATACACCAAAATTCAGAAAAAATAAACATT